ATAATAGGGGTCACTAAGTGGTAGATAGAACATGGCTCTCCAATGAAGTGTATGCCTGTCCTAATTCCTGGAACCTGTGACCATTACCTTACTTGGCAATAGGGGCTCGGCAATTGTGATTAAGGCCTTGAGCTAGGCGGTTCTCTTGGATTATCCAAGGGAGACCAGTGTAATAGCAAGGATCGTTCACTGTGCAAAAGGAGGAAGGAGAGCTAAGTCAAAGAGAGAGACGGGAAGGTGGGAGTGTGTCAGAGCAACGGGAATGCTGGGAGGGGCCACGGGCTGTTGGCAGCCTGGTTTTAGAACCTGGAAGATTTCCCTGGGAGGCTACAGAAGGAATTCAACTCTGCTGACACCACGGGTTTACCCTAGTGCGATCCATGTTGAACTCCTGACCTCTAGAACTGTAATAAATCGGTGGTGTTTCAGGCATGAAGTTTGAACATGTATCTGAAATGTTTGGAAAGATAACTAGCACTTAGTAAACAGTATATGGTGTTCCAGAACCCCAGTGTCTGGATTCTACCTCCTTTTTTCCACGACCACACGTACATTGCCAGACCGTACGTGGACGCATGGTGTCCGCTCTGGCAGAAGTTGTGGGGGAAGGGAGGGCATCCCACATCTTTTCTGTGTGGCCTTGTTTACAGGTGCTAAGGTTTGGGGCATCATTTCTAGGACAGAACCAGTCCCAGCTGTCTAGAGGACACTATGGGCCATCCAGCTGTCTGTGGTTTGCAGAGCAGGAAGCTGAGCAACTCGGGGGGAGGTGAGGTGCATCACTGGACGTCAGCCAAGAGAAACTTCTTGCTCTGGGGGAGGCGCTCACTTCAGACAGCATGTGGGGATCTGAGAAGCATGAGCTCCAAGCTACTACTGTTGGTCCTTCTTGTTGGCTTACAACTGACACACTTGCGGGCAAACCTAGTATCTTTTTATTTTGTCAGTCGTGGGGCTTGAACTCTGGGCCTGGGCACGGTCCCTCAGCTCTTCAGCTCAAGGCGAGTGCTCTACCACTTGAGCCACAGCACTGCTTCCAGTTTTCTGGTGGTTCATTGGAGATAAGAGTCTCATGGACTTTCCTGCCTATGCTGGCTTTGAACCATGATCCTCAGATCTTAGCCTCCTAAGTTGCTAGGATTACAGGTGTGAGCCAATGGCTCTGGCTCCTGGTTTGGCAAACCTAATATCTAACGTGTACTCCATAAGGCTGGAGGTCAGACTTTCCTCCTGGTTATTTTGCCCATCAGAAAACTGTAGCTCAGAGCAGCTAAGAACAGTGAGTTCTCCAGCTGTTAGAACTGACACCTTTCATGGTGATCCATTGGCTTCCAAAACCCTACGACTCTTCAGGGTCCTTCTTGGCTCAGGGATTGCAAGCCATCAGGGAAAAGAAAGAAGTGCTTTTGTATACATGTTCACTAGTGTCTTTCGCCTTCATTGCAAGACACCTGGATTAAAGTCATCCCTACTCCTTACTATTCTAAACAGGAAGAAGTCTTTCTGAAAGAGGTCTATGGAAAAACCACCAACAAAACCAGACTTGTGTCCTGTCACCATTACTACAGTGGCCAGGTGCTCAGGGACTGGACAGTTACTAGAGCGGCCAGGAGCTCAGGGCCTGGATGGTTGGCTGGATGAAGCACCATCCAGGTGTGCCCTCTCTCTCTTCCTCCTATGGGATCTCCCAAGTGCCCACTGATGAACATGTCGCCAAGTGCCAGCCCCGGACCCCCTGACCAGTGGGGGGTGCTGGCAGCTGTGAAGAAGTGGATTTTGCTCAGTGATTAACAATCCATTTCACAATTTATGTTCCAGTGTGCAGATGAGTCTGCCAGGGGCAGGGCCCTGTCCTGTGCTAGGCCTGGTACCTAACAGACACTCACCAAATATTTGCTGGATGAATGGCACTGGCAAAGGGTCGTGGGAAGGAGCAGGCCTTGGCGGCAATAAAGAAACTGCCCTCAGCCCCATGCCAGACCTGCTCGGAGCGCTCATCTGAGGACACGGGAGGTGGATTGAGGTGGACGAGCTGGGGCTGGAGGCTTGAGTCAAGGAGAGGAACTCTCCCACACCAGTATTTCCTACACATCTGTTCTGTTTGAGGATCTTGTGGCACAGCCCCCCCCCACGCTGGGCATTAGGGCAGGGCAGTCACCAACGCTGCACGATCCTCCTGCCCTCTTTCCCAGGCAGGAAAGCTCATCCATGGCCAGCACGGGAGGCACAGACAAGATGGGTCCTGGCAGGGGAGGAGGATGGAGAAGAGCCCCCGCATGATTGCTATTTTCTAGAGCCCAGAAGTCTCCAGACCTGGATCAAGGAGATGCACTCTGCCCTCTCCGGGAGCTAGTTTCAGGGAAGCGGCATGTATGGCAAATATACCGGGGTTCCAGAGACTTGAGAGCCCGCTTGGTAGACTTAGTGGTAGACTCAGGACTTCCAAAGGCCTGGACTTGAGTCCTGAAGACCTTTCTCCCCCCCCCCCCCCCTCCAAGAACTGGGAGGTTATGTCCTCTCCTCACCCAGTGTTTCCGTATTCCTAAGCTTTCTTTACAGACTTCCATTCATTCTCTCAGCCTTGCCAGGACCCTGCAGGACATCCTACCCCGCCATCCTAGAATCCGGGATGGAAAAGTCAAGTCCCCTTTCTGTTCTACTGCTTGGGTGGGTACCACGTTGCCAGGCTGGGTTGAAGTGACCCATCACCCCACAAAGATTCCAGTGGAGGCCCCTGGCAAGGCACTCCCCCGCCCCTTCCCAAGGAACATGCCTAGGATTTTGTTTTCCATCCACTCAGCAAACACAAGTGCTCCCTGTGGAGGGGGTAGAGTCCAAGCAGGTGTCTGGGACACAGCGGGAAGAGGAGGTAAGTTTCTAAAGAATGCCAGGTTCAGAATGCAAGGTGAGATAAGGGACGGCTCAAAGCCCCACCCTGAGCCCCCAGCCTGAGCTCGCTCTGGCCCCACCCGCCAGGTGCTTCTCCCCAGCTAGACTCTGAACCACAAAGTAACACATCAGCATTAGAACATAATCAGGTTTTTATTTTCACAACCTCCTACTGTCCATCCAAGTTACTAAGTTGTAAAAGCCCCACACAAACAAGGACAAAAGGTCTTAGTAACTTGAGTCTGGAGATTTTTTTTTTTCTTTAGTTCAACATAAATGAGAAAGAAAAAAAAATACCTCTGACATTTTTCAAGAACAGAAACTGGAAAGTATATTCATATACATTCAACATATACTGTGCATATTATTACTACAATACAAAGCAATGGTGTTTTAAAAAGTCTCGTTCGCAAGATGGCACGGTTAACAGGCCCCCTGGCTTTCTCTTCCACACACCCCAGGACCCTGTGAACGGCTCAGGCTGCATGGGCCCGAGCAGCAGGGCTGGTCAGGGAGCAGTCAGTTGGCATGAGCCCACAGAACTTGCCAATTGCCTTCTGAACTTTCTTGGCAAGCCCTGTCCTGGCTAGTTGTTGAGGACCCTGCTGGACAGAGGCGTGGCTGGGGGCATGGGGACGTGGGATGGGTTTGCGGCAGTCCACGCGAAGCACAGCGGGTCCAGGAGCCGAGCTGCTGCTGTCAGTGGAGGATGAGTGCGTGGGGGCCCTGCCAGAGACGCCAGGAGGCCATGCTGGGTACCCGCTTTCTTCTGTGCAAATTTAGGATGAAAGACAAAGGGGCTGGGGACCTTTGATGCTTTTCCCAGTCAAAATAAGTAAAGTGTCTCTGGCTGTGGAGATCAGGAGAGAAGCCAGACCCCTCTGAGCCCCCAAGCAGCAGAGAAGACTTTGGTTTCTAACGACGAAGAGGAAGAAAGTAAGGACGGAAGCACTCGCTAGTGTGTACACGCTGCTGGAGCTAGGGAAGGGAGGCCACGGCGCCTGGCACTGGCACAGGAAAGAGCCGCTCACAATCACAATGCCAAAGGAAACGCTTCAAACAAAAGGTGCAAGTCACAATGCAAATCAGAACAAAAGCTGGCTAAACATTTCTCTTTTAAACAAAAAGTCCTTTGTCTTTATTTATTAATAACAATAACAATAATATCAACATTTACCAAAAACAATTCCTATATGATCAAGAATTAAAATATAGGTGCCAAGGATGCTCAGAGAAGAGGCGGAGGAGGAGGGGGGAGGGGAGGAGGGGGAGGAAGAGATTAGGAGAGGCTGGACCCAAGACAACCTTCTATTCTTATTCTTGTCTGTGACAAAGAGGCAGAAAGAGAAAGGCATATATATGTATATATATATATACACACATATATGTATATGTGTATATCTATACACATATATATGGAGAAATAATCCCTTTTATAGCACAATATAAAATGAGAATGAAAGATGACACAAAAAGCACGGAGCACCACTGTTGGGTGTTCAATACATGGTAGAGCCAGCAAGATGGTAAAGTTTATAAGTGTGCAAGTCACAGAGGGGAACTGTATTCTAACCAAAGGGGCCTCAGGCTGACACCTCCTCACTGGAACCCACCAGTGCCGGTCACCCCTCACCTCTGTGCCAAAGTCCTGATATGCTCTTGCTGGGCCATATGTTTTCATATGCTGCCAGCTGTAGAGACCTCTGCAGGTCCCAGGCTTGGGGTTTCTCTCTCTTTTGCTCTCTGATTGCTCTCTAAAGGTCGAAGACCATTGCCCCTGCCCGTCTTCCCTTCTCCGCCATAGAGCTTCCAGAGAAGTTGAGAAGTTATGTGCCAGTGTCTGCTCCTGCAGAATGATGCGGAGAGGGAGATGCTGCCCGGCTGACGCTGACCTGTGGCGTCTGGTCTCTGAATACTACCTGCTTGCTCTCCTGTCTTCACAATGGAAAGAAAGGAAAACAAAACAAAAACGAAACAAAAGAAAGATCAAGTAAGACAGAAAAAAAATCATTTCTAAAAGATGATACCAAAAACACAAAACAAAACAATCACAAACCCAAAAACGAAACAAAAGAAACCGCCAACTCAAACACACCAAATACACTTTCACGAAAGGTGGAGAACATGGATTTCCTGTTTATTTCCTTGGTGAGTTGGTCATACAAGCAAACATAGCAATCCCCTCAGAACCCCAAACAGCAGCACACTGATGAGCCTAATGGAAGGAAGGAGTTGCAAGGCTCTGGGCGGGGAGAAACACAATGGCAATTTGGTGCAATGCTGCTGGACACTGTTGGTTACAATCAGCTTTCTTCCCAAGCTGCACGCGATCTGCAACAAAGCAGACACAGGATGTGTTTGACTCAAATACTCCCTTGAAGTCTGCTCCCCACCCCCACACTGGAGATGGAACCCAAGGCCCTGTGCATACCAGGTGAGGCTGAGCTACATCCCAGCTCTGTAATCTGGAGCTACTTTTGTTTTGGTCGGTCATGGGGCTTGAACTCTGGGCCTGAGCGCTGTCCCTCACCTCTTCAGCTCAAGGCGAGTGCTCTACCACTTGAGCCAGAGCACCGCTTCCGTTTTTTTGAGTGATTTATTGGAGATAAGAGTCTCACATATTTTCCTGCCCAAGCTGGCTTTGATCCGAGATCCTCAGATCTCAGCCTTCTGAGTAGCTAGGATTACAGGCGTGAGCCGCCGGCGCCTAGCTGGAGTTATTTTTTAAATATACACCTTCCACATTTTACCTCAGGTACTTGAAGAGGCTTGCTGTACTGAGACTTTGATACACAGTTGCCTCCATGGCTTCATTTTCTTCAAGTCTTTCCTGTATAGCTGGATGTGTTTTCTTACTGGGTTTCATCCTTTAGGACTTAGCAAGTTACCCAGAGGGCAACTCTGTCCTTTGCAGCCATAGCTCATGGTCCCTATGAGGTCTAAAGCACCTCCATCACCAGGTGAGTTTTTTCTCTGTAATCAAACCATTCCTCTGCATGCCCCCGCCCCGCGGTGTAGTCGTGAAAAAGAGTAGCACCACACGTGGAATGTGTCACCTGATGGGATCAGGAGCTGGCACTGGGCCACAGGCTGGGTTGGCCCTGGCCAGGATGGCACTTACTCTCGGTCTCGTTACACGCCCGCCTGCTCCATGCTGAAGGAGACCTCAGGGTGCTTGTAGCTGAGCAGAATATCCGTAATACACGTGGACGGGTAGCAAGAAGAGTTTAAATGCTGGCTGCCATCACTCAGGTCTGGGTGTTCGGGACCTCCCAGACTCACCCCACATTCTGAAAGACCAAAGGAACATGTGAGATTAGCAGGCAGCCAGGGCTGGAGGGCAGGCGGGCAGGGGGAGACACAGAGGGAAGAGCCCTGAACATCTGCCTGCAGCTCCAGCTGTGTGCGCTCCTGTGTGTCCTTGCCCCTTCCCCACCCTCAAGTTCGAGCAGACGGTGTGGCTCCTCAGGAGCCGGGCCTCTGGAGGGGGACAGTGAGGGCGGTGCCCACAGGTTCCCAAGCCTGAGCATTCCCATCCAGCAGTCACACTAAGGCCCTACCCGCAGAAAGCCAGGATCCCACACAGCATATGCTAAGATGGAAGGGCTGCTTTCTGCTTGCTTCCTGCTCCTAACGGACAAGGACCTGTAGATCCGGGAAGCTGAGCACTGGCCTGCAGAGGAAAGGACCCCGGGAGGACAGAGGGAGAACCTGCAGGACTTCCCCGGGGTTGCTAGGCTCAGGCCCCTCACCTTCATCTTCTCCGTCCTGAAACTGCTGGCTGCCCATGAGTGACGTCTGACTGAGAACCGCATCTGACATCCGGGCCGAACTCAGTGCCTTCCCAGCCACCAGGCTCATTCCTGGCAAGTTATCCAGCTGAACCTGCGGCAAACAACCGGGAATCGTGAGGACCCCGGGCGGCCGGCCCCTCTCTGGGTTCTGCTAGCAGAGCCCCAGCATGGCTCCTGGGCATCACCAGTGCAGGGGACTGGCACAGCAGAGCTCGGCCGCAGCCCTCCCCTCCTCTCTCCTGAAGGCCAATTCAGGGCACCCAGTGCAGTCACTCCCCATGACAATGGAGCCGTCTCTAGCGACCTGGGCTAAGGGTAACTAGTACAGTGGAGGAACTGAACTTGTAATTTCGTGTAACTTAGGTTGACATTCGCATAGACACGCATGGCTGGTTCCTGTCATATTGGTATCACCAGAGGAGCCCGCCATGAAAGACAAGGCTCCACTGGGCCAGTTCAGGTATGCTAGAGGGTGGCAGCTGCTGGTCTCCCCGCTGGGCCTGAATCTAGAAGAACTTCTAGAACATTCTAGATGCTGGCACATCCTTGTGATCCCCCAGCCGAAGGTGTAGAGGCTCCACGATGTGAAGGCTGGTCTGAGGGTTAACTCAAAGAAAGGCTCCCGCCTGTAATCCTAGCTCTCAGGAGGCTGAGATCTGAGGATGGCAGTTCAAAACCAGCCTGGGCAGGAAAGTCTGTGAGACTCTTATCTCTAACCAACCACCAGAAAACTGGAAGTGGTGCTGTGGCTCAAGTGGTAGAGTGCTCGCCTTGAGCTGAACTGCTGAGGGACAGCGCCCAGACCAGAGTTCAAGCCCCACGACTAACAAAAAAAAGAAAAAGAGAGAAAGGTTCCCATAGTTGCCAGAGGAGCTGGATTGAGAGGGGGAGTGGAGGCTCCCTGGATTGCTAGGTTCTGACTTCTCATCCCTCCACCCCTCCAGGAGGCGCGTGAGACTGACATACGTAGGCATCGTCGCTATTCTGGATTGTGTGGTGTCTCTGGAGGGTCCGGGGCCTGTGGTGTTCTCCGACCAAGGGCCGCACCGGGTACCCCAGCCCGGTGTGATCTGGCAGCTCCATTGCTTGTCCCGGAGAGCTTCCATCCATGCAGTTCCCTATGACTGCATCTAAGAGACAGAGCAGAACAGGGTCAGTGGGCCTACAGCTTCTCCCAGCGAGGTCAACTCCCATGAAGGAAATGACATGCCTCCCCAGTGAGGATGGGCAGGCACTCACCGCTCACCCCAGCTGCTTGGTGTTGGTGCTTAAAGCAGCCCAGACCAGCCTGACAACCCCTGGCCCTACAACAAATCTGCTTCCCCAGCTCCCAGCTCAGGCCTCTCCTCTCTCTACTTCTCTAAGTGCTGCTTCTGCCTCCTGTGGCTTCACCTTTAAAACTATTTCTTTTTTGTTGTTGTTGTTGTCAGTCGTGGGGCTTGAACTCTGTCCCTCAGCTCTTCAGCTCAAGGCGAGCGCTCTACCATTTGAACTACAGTGCCACTTCCAGGTTTCTGGTGGTTTATTGGAGCTAAGAGTTTCACGGACTTTCCTGCCCAAGCTGGCTTTGAACTGAGATCCTCAGATCTCAGTCTCCTGAGTAGCTAGGATTACAGGCGCGAGCCACCGGCACCGGGCTTGGCTTCACCTTTTATAGGCAAATGCTCTTCTTCACGTTTCTGTCATCTGGCTCCAAGGCTTCAACTACTCTGCCTCTACATAAAGGATTCCTGAAATGTTCCTTGAAACTCCAGATCTATATATCCAATTGATGCTAGACACCTTCTCCTGTCCACCCAGGTACATGACACTTACTCTGTCCAATTCCCCCATAACCTATCATTCCTTCACTAACCCTTACGTTGGTGCTTCATTTCTTCTAGGGTTAATGTCATTACCTAATTCCTGGTCCTTGAAGTCTAAAGAGTCTACCTGGGCGGCGGTGGACACTTCTTCATCTTTCCAGTCTCACTGAGAAGTCTTGCCTGGGTTATCCTGTAACCACCCCCAACCATTCACATACAACAACTCCTCTATGGATGTCCAAACACTTTCTCTCACAACACACCTCCCATCCTGTCTTCCAACAGCCTCGCCCACGTCGCCCACCTACACATCCTGAGTTCTAGTCTGATGGAGCCATTTAATTCACAGTTCCAAGCATCTGCACCTGCTCCTACTGTTCCCTCTGTTACAAGACATGCTGGCTCCTTCTACCTCCATTCCCGCCAACCCACATCCATGCACCCATCCAGGTCCACTCAAGTGCTGTCTGTCATCTTTATGAAACTTTCCCTTTCCAACAGAAACAGATCCATACTTTAAAATTTTATTTTTCCTGATTTCTTCTTCTCACCTTCAGAAGACGGTGTCTCCAATTATTCTAACATTACCTGATACCATGTTCAACTGTGTAGTCTTAATTATTCAAAGACAAGAAGTTCTTTGAGAGCAAGAATTATTTTTTTATGTATGTCTGTAAGCTGCAGTGTTCCAGACTATTGTTCTATGCCCAGTTAGTATCTGATCATTGTCTCTTCACTGGATATTAATAAATAGTTTTCTAATATGGATGGACCTCCTGTGGAAGAGGAATGAGCATCTTGCCCTGAGCAAGGTCAGCCAAGAAAATATCCAGGACATGCCGAACTTGACAGGACCTCTCCTGGTGGCACTTTTGGCTTTAGTCTTTAAGGGCTAGGAACCAATATATGTTGGTTTTGTTGTTTTGTGCCAGTACTGGGGCTTGAACTCAGAGCCTCAAACTCTCCCTTCGCTTTTTCCCTTAAGGTTGGGCCACATCTGCACCTTTGGCTTTTTGCTGGTTAACTGGAGCTAAGTCTCTAGGAGTTAATTCTTCTGCCCCAGGTTGGCTTCAAACCAGGATCCGCAGATCTCAGCCTGAGTAGATAGGATGACAGGTGTTAACCGTGGCACTTAAAAAAAATAAATACAACTTCCCTGTGTTTGAGGAGCAGGTGCTCTACCATTTGATTCACACCACCACCCTTTTTGCTTTTGTTATGTTTCAAATAGGGGTTGGCTTTTTAAGCCAGCCTGGACCCGAGTCTCTTATTTATACGGCTCATGTAACTAGAATGATAGGTGCATGGCACCATGACTAGCTTTTAACTGGTTGAAATGGTGTTTCAAGCACTTTTTTACGTGGGCTGGTCTTGAACCTTGATCATAATGATTTCAGCCAAACAAGCCAAACAAGGATAACAGGTGTGAATCGCTAACACAGAGCTAATGCTAACTGTGCCATTATCTATTTGGACAATGAAAGCAAACACGATACCTAAGTGTTGGGCAAAGGGTTTCAGGTCTCTTTAATCAAATGGCTTCCTGTGATAGTCAAGGTAGGGCCGGGCGGGGGTAGGGGGAAGGGGGAATAACTGCTCATCGCTAGGAATGCAAGCCATTCAGGGGAAAATTAGAGGATGGAGGTGCGGAGCCTTCCCAACTACCAAAGATGAAGACAGAGAGAAATCTTTGGAAAGTTCTTGGAGTAAACAGGCCAAAGGAAAAGCCAGAAACCAGCTATTTTGCTACTGGAACTAAAAGCCAGCAGAAAGAAGATAAAAGTAAGCCTACGCAAGAACACCTACTTGCTCTATGAGATTAGCTTCAGCCATGTTGACCACTCAGCCAATTCCTCTGTTAAGACAAGGTCCCGTGTGGCCCCTGGGCCAACTTCAAGCAGCAGCAGGAAGCAGAGGTGGTGAACACCAGCTTTGTGGTTCCAAGACACAGCATCCGTAGCTGAGTCTTACTTTTTCTCCCTTCCTCCCTCCCTTCCTTCATTCTGTCCTCCTTTTCCTCCCCCACTCCTTTTTTTTGTTTGTTTGTTTGAAGACAAGGTCTCACCATGTAGCACAGACTGGCTTTGAACTCCTGATGTTCCTACCTCTGCTTCCCAAGTGCGGGAGTAACTAGAATGATAGGTGCACGCACCATGCCCGGCTCCAAGTATTTGCTAATATCTATACTCTCGTATAATAATATCTTTCTTCTCTCCCTCTCTCTCTTCCTTTCTCCCCTCCCCCAACTAAGCTCTGCTGTCCGTCCACTCAATTTCAGAGGTGGGGGCCTTCCTTCCTTTAAACCTTGATTCAGAGGTGGATGTAAACCTCACCAGCTGCACTTCCTTGCTTCCCCCAAAGAGAAACACCAGTGCTCTTCTGTTTAGGATTTTGTTCTTGGATCATTATCAAACAAGAGAGAGCAAAGTTAACACAATGCACACAGTCCTGGTTCTTGGTATTTGGTGCCTTTCTTCCTAATTTAGAGGACTCCGGTTTTTGTGGCCCATGTTTTGTTGTTTTCCTTTCTTTTCCTTTTTAAATACTTAAGACTGAGGATTTTCCAAATCCAAATACACAATACCTTTTTGGCTCTGCCAAAATCATGCTGATCTGCTCTCTTCCCAGACTTCCTATCTGGGATGCAATGAAACTCAACAAGTTAGATCTCTGAAGGGGACTTGGGACCCTAGCCCCTCCCCCGCTCTGCTTCCTTGCCACCATAGGGTGAACAGCTTCCCTTCACTCCTCATGCTCCGCCCCAGCCCAAGCCCTTAGCAAAAGAGCCAGCCAGCCACAGACAGAAACCTGCACCATCAGGCGCTAAAGTAAATCTTTCCTTCTTGTAGAACAATTTTCTCAGGTATCTGTCACGGTGTTGGGGAACTAATTAACAACTTGTCTCCCAACTTGGGCAGGTCCTGTAACCTCTCCTTATTTTCAATTTCTCTGCCTGAAAAATGAGGGTGGCCCAAGGACTCAAAAAAAAAAAAAAAAAAGATAAACATGAAAAGGTCTCTGATAAATGTAAAGGATTACACAAGTCAGATATGATTTCCAACAGGAGGCAGAGCCCCGTCTAGAAGTCCTCTGTAGCTGAGAGCAGATTAACACACTGCATGGGCAGACTAACCCACTGGCCAAGGGACATGACTCCCCAGCCTCCAGAAACCAGCAGGACTATTGCAAGGAAGATGTCTTCCAAGAGGTCAACCCAAGAGCATTAGCCACGCAAGGCTGCGAGGTTCAGAGGGGCGGGCAGCTGTCTCATTGCACAAGGGAAATGCACAGGACCTGCCACACCACCGCCCACCCCAGGGGACTTTCGGGCAGCTTGCGTAACTTCTGTTGAATCTGTCAATGTTGACTCATCCTTATTCATTTACTGGGTTTTTAAGCATAAATGAGAGAAATGACAGGTTTACATATTCCTCTAAAGGCTGCAGCTGACTGAGCTCAGAGAAGAGGATGTAGTTTTCAGAGGGCTCAAGGTGGCAATCTCACTGGGTGCAGTGGCTGTGCTGTTGCATGTGTTTATTTGCAACACCTGAAAATCAAGCCTATGTGACACTGAGAAAGGAAGACACACCTTACTTTTACTTTCAGAGTGGCGGACAGGGTTAGTTCTGAAATGTCTATGCATTTGCAAGGAAGCACTGGCAAGCTGCGGCTCAGTGCCGTGCCGACAAAGCATGCAAAGAACCACAGACGCTGGGGCAATGGGGTCTATGCTTCCTTGGGTAACGCCACCATTTCTGCTCATCTGCCTGTAGGAAACTCTACAGATCACATGGGCTCTGCTGTTTGATCAGACCTCCCTCCCCCTACTTTTTTTTTTTTGCCAGTCCTGGGGCTAGAACTCTAGGCCTGGGCACTGTCCTGAGCTCTTTTGCTCAAGGGTAGTGCTCTATCACTTGAGCCACAGCTCCACGTCTGGCTTTTTCCTGGTTAACTAGAGATAAGAGTCTCATGGCCTTTCCTGCCTAGCCTGGCTTCAAACTGGGTTCTTCAAACCACAGCCTCCCGAGTAGCAAGGATTACGGGTATTAGCCACCGGCGCCTGGCTTGATCGCCTCTTATAGCACTCTCTGCACTCATTACTTGCTTTCCCCATGGAGAAGGGGAAGTTCCCTGCAGGAATGTCTTTCACTTTTTCCTCTCTACATTCTCACAGCACCTGTAATACCTTGTAAACTACTGTTGTACAAGAGAAACTTAGTAAATGACATAATTATTCTACCATGAAAGTAAACAGTGGAGTATTTGGGACTAGGAAGTAACTACCCAGAGAAGGAGGGTCATTAAAAGAACTAGCAGGTTTTCCTCTCTATCACACATAAAAACAAGAGCCAGCTCCTCCTTCTTGCCTGCAGAGAGATGGCGTAGTACAGTGTTCTAACCCTTTCCAGGCAAAAATAGACAGCAGATAATCTGTCAAAATTCTTTGGTAAAGTAAAAATGTAGCTAGGTGTGGTGGTTCATGCCTGTAATCCCAGCATTGAGGCTGAGGTAGGAGGATCATGAGGTTCAGGATGACCCAGTCCCAAAAGAAAAAAAAGAGAGTGAGCTGTGGTGCGGTTGGAGCATACTTTAGTAAAGCACACTGGGTAGAAAGGAAGGCAGCTTGTCTTTGCCCTCAAACGCAGCAGGAATGAAGGTCACAGCTTCTAGGAAAGCTCTGATGAAAGGTCAGAGGGAAAAGATGAATTTCAAAAAGCAGTGTGTATGTGTGTGTGTGTGGGGGGACCCAGCTAAATTGGAAGTAACACAGTAAGACCAGGGCAGCCTTGAAATGAAGTGTATACACCCTTTATTAGAACTCTTCCACCCTTATATATATTTTTAAATTTTTATTCTTATAAAGTCTCTGTATCTGCCAGGCTTGCCTTCAATTGGTGATCCTCTTGTTTCTGCCTCCCAAGTAGCAGGCATATTCCCTGGCTCTTCCAGAAATCCACAGTACTGTTTGTAAGGGATAACAGCGGTGATGCTGATGGATGTAAGGAAGCAGGGAGGAGGAAAAGGGAGGCAGCAAGCTAGAGGAAGAAGCAGGACAGAGCTGACAAAAACTTAACTAGAACAACAAAGCACTGCCCTGAAGTACAGCCTCAGCTGGACAGAGGGAATTCTACCCACGACCGGGTGATGGTCTGAGAATTGCCCTCTGACTGCTCTGCTTGCCAAGAGAAGAGCATTGTGCCAAGGTTCTCTCGACATGATGCAACCAGACCTAGCCCACATGCTGCATTCTCTCCACTTGGCTTCTCCTAATTCCTTCATGGACAGGACACTACAAACTAAACAAGCCTGCTCCCTGGCCCTCAGATTCCCTTGAGACATTCTCCCCAAACCCAAACACCAAAACTCTTTACATTCAAATGCTGTTCAACTGCTGGAACCTGACCTATTCCCTTGCAAAGTCCACCTCTCCCTCCCTGGGTGCTCCCACACAACATGGACCATTGCCTGCCAGAGCTTCCTTCTGACAAGGAGACAATAGTGAAGATGAGTCCTCCTGATGTTCCAAACAAGGATGGAAGGTGAAGAGAAATCAGAGAAAGTAAGCGTTCAGGTAGCATACTCCAAAGGTATTTAAATATTCCCTTCCTCTTTTCCAATATGGGGGCTGAACCCAGGACCATTGCACACACCGAACAGGAGCTCTACCGCTTGACCCACGCCCCCTGGCCCCAAAGGAATTTAAACTCAAGGCAGTCCAGGCTGAGGAGGGAGGAAAGGTGAGGCTCCAGCTTGGCTCGTCCTTCAGTGCTCTGCACAGCAGGACATGTTGTGGGGTGAACTGAGTCACTGGGGGCCAGGGGAGACAGTTACTACTTGCTGGCTTTGACCCTGTACCAAGGTCTTGATCTCTGCACCCCAGTTGTTTTTTTAGTAATATGGAGATAATGAGTCACCTTCAAGATTAAACGAGGGCTGGGTACAGCTCAGTGGCCAGAGCACTTGCCTACTGTTGATCAACAGAAGATGGGATGAGGGGACAGTAGAGAATTATTTTGAGCAAATTATAATATATGCACATTTGAAATACCCTTAGTGCAATTAATACAAACTTACAAAATGAATGATAAGAAAGTCAAAACAGGGTCTGATGGGGTTTGAAGTGGGAGATGGCTACCAGCAGGAGAGGGGAGAGCTATGGAAAAGAGTGAATGAGGTTGAATTTGGCTTATTTACATGTATGGAAATAGAACGATGATGAGGGAGTGAGGCTCATGGGCACATGTTGTATATACATGTGGGAATGTCAGTGCAATCCCGCTTGTACAACTATGTATTCCAATGTAACAAAATTGTTGGCCTTGTATGCATGAGGCCTTGGCTGGATTCCCAGCAATGTAGAAAGAGAACTGAATGACTTTGTGCACAAACTGCATTTGGTGTGTGGCACATGGAAAGCACATCAGGCTCTCTGGGTCTTCTTTTCATACCAGCCACATAATGCCAAGCTGCTAGAAGCTCAACTGGCACAAGAATCTTTTCCATAGCATGCTCGGCCTCCTGGCCATACCTGTCCTCTGCTGGAGGGTTCCAGGCTGTGAAGCAGCCTGTTCTGTGCACAGTTCTCCCAGGGGCTCTTCCTAGGAGCTGAAAACTTGCTGCGATTTCTATCCCGATCTTAGTTCTTCCCCATAACACAAACCCAGAAAAGTTGAAACTCTGTGATGTTTCCCCTTAGCTGTTCCCTCCCTGGTGGTCATCCCCAAGGTCTGTCTGCTACTCTGCATCAGACCTGTTTTGAAAGCTCCCACAGCCCATCCACCTGGAGTACAGCAGCCACAAGGAACACAACTGGATGATGCCATCTGCTCAAAAGCTTGGGACCTAATTTCCCTCCTATCAGAGCACATAATAAGCACACGTGAAATCATCAGGTTTCTTTTCTTCATATCACTAGCTTTGTGCTACAAGATCTGATTCCCCAAAGAGCTGAAGTGTTTGTGACTTTAAGGGTAGAGGAGCAGATGCAGGCAGTGGATGCAGGGAAGAAGGATGGAAGGAAGGCCCACTGCTGGCAATGCAGTTGACGGACACATCCCTTGTGGATGTCCCCTGTGGATATCTCCTGGTTGTCTAGGCTGAATGCTGATGGAATTACATTTCTGAGAATGACTGACAGGAATCCTTACCTCCTTCACATGGAAATGAATGTACTCATTAATTCTAAAGTGCTATGTGACAAAATAGCACAAGGCCCCCCATGACAGTAGAATAGTAGATGATTGGCTCATAATACTTCAAACTGATAACATTTTCATCGCAAATTCTTTTGCACACAAACATGTAGAAACATGAATCTTTCCAGGGCTGTGCAAAGGAGAATTATTCATCCTGTCCCCTTTTCACAGATGAGGAAAATGAGACTCAAAGCTTTAAATGACAATTTTACTGCAGTCATGGTAGAGATAAAGGCCAACAAGAAGCTGCTTTGACTCCTGGTTCAACATTATCCTATTTCCCTAGTGCTAGCTGACTTTTCTACTGTAGTAGCTATTTTGATGGCATTCTGAATTTTGGAATTAAAAGAAACCATGATAGAAATAGGGGAAAACAGATACCTTAGTGCTTATTAGTCTCTTATCATTTTATCATTTGATCTGGAAAACTGACTATCCACCAATAACTACTTTTCTTCCTGCTTCTCCTGGACTTATGTGGAAGGTGCTATAAGAAACTCTTCCCACAACCCTCCCCTTAGGAACACAAGAGTGCAAGCACAAACTATTGACATTCCTGAGTCAGGCGAACTAGGGCAGACTCTTACCTCGGCTGGGCACCTTATTTCTACTGAATGTGGCAGTGGGCTGATGTCCGTAGGGATGCATCCCCAAGTCCTGGGCGTGATTCACGGTTCCTAGCAAAGATTCCGCGTCCCCAGGTCCACCGGTACTCAAGAGCAGAGGGCTGTTGTGGCAACCTTTGGTCAGTGCACTTGAGTGCTTGCTGTCTGGAAAACCCTCCCTGGCCCCCTCGCACAAGCAGTCCTCTTCCATGCTCTCTGAATGCATTAGTGCCGGCTGATGGGCATACCCGTGGGTCGGGGTTGGCGAGGAAACCTGGGACATACATTCTTGTGCCCTGATCTGGAGAAGATGCTGGGGGCTGGTGTGGTGATGATAGGAGTCAGCACTGTGATAAGATAAAGCCTGGCGCTCTGTCATACTCTGTCCCCCGAGGCTGGGTGCCAAGCTCCCAGCATCCCCTTGGTTCATGTGCCTGAACAATTCTTGATACTCTTGTTGCTGCTGCTGTTGCTGCTGCTGCTGCCGTCTTTTAATGAGCTGTGCAAACTCCGCTGGAGGCAGCCGAATGTCCGAGTGGCCAGTGAGTGAATGCCGGGGAGACAGCAGTCCTTGAAGGATGTGTGGTACCTGCTGGTGTCTGCTATAGTCTGGCGGCGTGGGGGACAGCAGAGCCTGCTGTAGTGCCGATGTAGTATAGTGTGGCGGCTGGTGAGGGAAGGTAGGGAGCTGGTCAAGTGGAGGAACTTTCAAGGCTTGCGTTGGAGGGAACCCCACTCCTGTTGAAGGACTGTAGCTGCTGGGGGAACCTCGGGACTGGTCCGAAAAGAGATGGGGGTGTAAATGCGCCTGGTCGTAGTTAGCAGGGGAGAACCGATTGACATTCAAGCTGCAGACACAAAAGGGAGTGAGTTGCAGACATTGGTGTGACAAGTGTACTAGACAGATGCCCTGGGAAAATAACTACTACTGTGCCCGCCCAGGGAGCACCCACATCCAGAGAATGGCGGTGCATCCCGAAGAGGAGACTGCATCCCACACCTCACTCGCTTTTCCAAATCATTCAAGGGACTTAGGGCCCTAGGAATGTAATTACTTCAAAGGCAGCAAATGGACCTATCTTGAAAGATCACATGAGCTATTAAGAGACATCAATCTCTTAGAAGAGTGACATAGAGGGACTGGCTCCTGTAAGAATAGACAGGGGGAACTTGTATTTTCACACAATCCTTCATAGGCATTTTCTTCTTTATACGCTACCAGTGGGCACTTGGCTGGTTTTCTCATCTGTCTCATTACCATTTCAAGTTCATCCTAAACCCACCGCCCTGCATTTAGAAAGGGTGAAACAGACTTCATTAGACCCATTCTTTTCTAGCTTTTGCTCATCCTGTTTGGGGCTTCCTTTTGCCCAGCTTACCTGGATAGAGGGCTGGGTATCACTGCGCAACCTTACCTGTGGGCCTCTGCACTGTCAGCACTCAGCTGCTTGGACAAGGGTCGATGCCCGTAGCTGAAGGTGGCTATCAGGTTGGCCCGGTGCTGCATCTGAATCTGGCTAGCACTGGGGCTGATGGAGATGCCCCTCCCAGCGGAGCCTGCAGTGGCCCCCGCCATGGTGCTGAGCATGTCAACCGGCTCTTGTACTTGGATGGTCACCTGCTGTGACTGGGTGGGCGGCTGCATGCCCAGGCAGGTAAGTGCCACATTGGGAGGAGGCGAACAGTTCTCAGGCTGCTGCTGGAAGATTGCACTGCGAGAGGGTAAGCCTTGAAACTGGGAGGGAGGTGTAGCACCTGGAGAAAAATCCCAGAGTGACCATGAACTGAGTAACAGAGCCAACAGGGAGACTGGTATCAGACAGCCTCTGAAAGTCCTCTCAAACTTATTGCATGTAACACAAGACAGAGAACTTGTTAAAAAAAAAAAATTCCCAAGTCCTACTATGACACTATGACTCAGTAGGTAACATGGATCCCCCAAGTTCCTCTGAAAGTTAGTGTGTGGATAATACTTTGAGTAGCTCAAATAGAAAACACATCTCAAACTTGAATGTCTCTACATATGGACCAGAGATCTGGTTAAAGTACACATTTATATTCTAGTTATTACAAATGAGGGAAACCATGCAGCTTATGTTTCTTTGGGACTGGCTTGCTTTGTTTAATATAATTTTTTCCAAGTCTTTCCATTTCCTTATGGATAGGGTAATATCATTCTTTCTGATGGAAGTACATATATATATACATTTTCTTAATACATTCGTCTACTGAGGTACATCTGGGTTGAATCCATATCTTAGCTATGGTAAATAATACTGCAATGAACATGGTTGTGTTGGTAGCTATAGTGTGGCCTTGTTTGTGGTCATTTGGGTAAATGTCCAGGAGTGGGATTGCTGGATCATAGGGGAGCTTATGTTTAGTCTTTTGAGGAACCTTCATACTGCTTTCCAGAGTGGTTGAGCAAGTTTACATTCCCACCAACAATGCGATAGCATTCCCTATTGGCCACATAATAACACAATCTGTTATTATTAGTTTTTCTGATAATGGCTAACTGGGGTGAGATGGAATCTCAATGTTATTTTGATTTGCATTTCTTTATGGCCAGAGCTGTTGACTATTTCTTCATGCGTCTATTGGCTGTTCTTATTTCTTCTTCAGAGAAGTCTCTCTTAAGCCTTTGCCCACTTACTAATGGGGTTGTTCTTTCTTGGATATTTTTAGCAAAGGATCACAACAGCTCAACAGGTATGTACATATGACCATATAAAATGATACTCATTGAAATGAACTCTGAGAAATGGAAACAAGAGTTTTGTTTTTTTCGTGTGTACTGTTTGCAGTTATTTCTTTTCTTTTTCTTTTGGTTTACTCCCTGTTGTTACTGGTTTTTATTTCTGTACCCTTTGTCTTGTACATAAGTTTATCTAACTGGGGGAAGAGAAGGGGAATCACAGAAAGGGAGGCACAAAGGGTGAACCAAGGCAATAGTAATACTCACTAGACACTATGTTGGAAATGGACTTTATAACTTGCAGGGAAGGAGAGTGGGAGAGGGTGGGAAGTGGGAGAAAATGGGAGAGGGGGTAACATGTTCAAAAGGAAATGTACTCATTACCATACTTATGTAACTGTAACCCCTCTGTACATCACCTTTACAATATACCTAAGGCTTCATAGCCAAAAAATTCAAACCAAGGTGGTATGGCTCTATAGCCCATAACCCTAAATACTACGTTATTTTGTCTTTCAAATTATTCATGACACTCACAATTAAGAGGCTAAAAACAAAACAAGAAATTTGAACAAGCAAATCAAAACCACTCAAACAGAATGTGTCACATAACAGTTTGACTTGGACTTTTCCACTCACCATGAGACTGAATCATGGTACTGTTGATGGGGGGAGGACTATTACTTGGTTGCTTGAAGAGATGGTTGTTGGGGTGGTTGGGAGGTGGGCTTGAAGGTTGAATCCTTAACCTTAAAAAGGACAAGATGGATGGGGGGAAAAATTTCCATAGGTGACAGAACCATCTTGAATTAAGTCTCAGCCATATAATACACATCAGTAGAACCATTATTTTTTAGTTTTGATAGGCTACTATGGTAGAAAACCACAAATAAGTCACCTACCACAGTCAATTTAAATCTTCTCCACATCTGTTTTACCATCTCCCCTCCTCCCTCTCCCCAACTCAGAGGCAGACGTCACCTTGGACCACTGTCTGACTTTTGTACAAGATGCCGGATTCCTTTGCTCAGAGAGCTAAGAAAATGAAGTGGTGATACAGGAAGCCAGGATTTCAGAGATCCTGAGCTTAAATTGATTTGTTTTTCCAGCAGATTCTTCCAAAATAAATGCAAAAGTTGGTCAATTTCTCCCATCAATCAGACAAGGACATTATGCCACAGAGTCGATGACTTAGGCATAACACCAAGAGATTCATTACCTCTGGAGCTGGTGGGTGAGGAGGGCGGGCTGATTTTCACATACAGCCTGAAGAGGTGGGGAAGGCTGAGGAGGACAGATAGAGTCCTAAAACACACATGAGGGGAAGGAAAAGAAAACTGTGAGCTTAAAAAATAAGCAGAGCTATTCTCAGGAAAAGAAGAAACAGAAAGAGCTATCTGTGATTTATGCTTCAGTTGGTCCTTGAAAGGTCTGGTAACCTTTACTCAAATATAATCAACCAGAAGTGAAACTCCACTTTGCTCTGAGCATTCTCCAAACCAAATCAAACCAACCAACCCCCCACACAGGCAAGTCAGCCTGGAAGCAAACTCCAAACAAGTTGGAGAAAGCAAAGTGACAGCCTACTTGAATTTGCTGCTGGAGAATCTGATGGTGCTGCTCCTGCTGGTATAGCATATGCTGCTGCTGGGTCTTCTCCAGGGTTCGTTCATCAATCTGCCCCCCGTACATCTTCTGCAGCTGCTCACATTCCTGAAAGGGAAGTAGTTAATATGGATAGGTAGTGGCCAGGCCTACCACAAGCAGTGATCTCAGTAGATACAGATCTGTCCCAAGGGCTCAGGGGCAAAAGAGCCATCAGAGAAGAAGGGTCTTTGATGAGCAGTTTACACGGGTATCTGTACACTAAATACCTTCATACTGTTCTGTGTAAATGAGTGGGAAGCTCCAAGGACACCAAAGGCCCAGGAAAGAATGAAACTATCCAGTGTAAACTGTGTGCAGCACACATGTCACTCAAAGCTTGGTAATCGGGAAGGTAAGGGGATGTTTCCTATTTCTTGGAGCGCCAGTACGTACCAAGGGGAGAGCCAATTCCACTAAGACCCAGCGCCTTACATCATAGAGTACCAAGGCTGCTCAGAAATATCTTCCCTGGTGCTTCCTACTAAAGCCTGGGCTCAGAAACCCCTTTCCAATGAACTATAGAAATGAGAAAATCTTAATCACTTAACCCAGGAATCAAGTTTGATCCTGGGGAGAGCTACACTTAACAAAAAAGTGGGGCGGGCAGTGGAGAAAGAAGGATCAGGAAGCTTTATTTCAAGGTTAAAAACTGCAGTGCTGCTGACATGACAAAGTAGGAACTTTACCACCCTAGTTCTCCTGCAATACTGGTCTCTGTCACCCATGCTCCTCTAGAGAGGCCGCCATCTCTCCCATTACCTGCTGCAACTGTTTGATGCTGCTGCTGTTGCCCATTTTTTCCAGGTGAGCTTTGAAGGCCTGGATGCTTGCAGCCCCATCTGAGAACCGGCGCACAGGGGAGAAACGCTCCGTGGGGAGGTGCAGGGTGTTGGAGTCCTTGTAGGTGGAGCTGAATACATGGGAAGAGAAGGTTAGGGGCTAGGACTCAAGTCACAAGGGGACTGCTGTTCCAGATGAACACAAAGATGGCTGGCTGCATGTGAAACCCCGCGTTTATGCCACTTCCAGAAGACAGTCGGTTTCCTACCCTACTTCCCTTTAGAGAGCTCCAAGTACTCATTTTTTTTCATTTTCACTTACCTTGAGTTGTCTACTTTCCAGGCCTGGAGAGGTCCTGGGATCCCATGTATCCAGTTCTTATAAATACACTACAGCAGAGAGAAGTTCCTCAACACTGTGGAGTGGCTGTACAGGAGCTCTGGTTTTTATGGTTTTTAAAATCACGTCACTAGCTGATGTCTTTAGAAAGCTAAAATTCACCAGTTCACCCAGTTTTTCCCTGAACAGTAACCTCTGTATGACCCCAGTGAAACCACAGTCAGCACTATGGTCAAAGGTCTGACAAAGAACTCAGGGTTCTGAGCTACAAAGAAGAGGGTGGAAGTTGGGGGAAGGTGGAAAAGGGGACTTCTGATCCTGGGATGGAGACAGCACATGCTTCGGGAATGTGGGCCTCAGGATCCTGCACATACTTTGTGAATGCAAATGAGGCTCAGAGCAGCCCCCACCCAACCATCATGGACACACCCCACTGCTCAATCAGAAACAGCCAGCATCTTACAGAAAGAAAGAGTAAGCTGTTGATAAGGAATGCCCAAGACAGCATCAGGGCTAGAAGCTAACACTTGTACTTGTTACCTAATCAGAAAGAGATGTTTATGGTTGGAGGTAAGCAAATAAAAGACCGCCATGGCAGCATTCCAGAAGCTGATGGAAAGGGTCATGGCTGCATGTCCAGGGCAGAGATGACATTAGACTGAGCTACGGGTGAATGATGGAACACTTTGCCAGCTCTCACTATGGACTGAAGCAGAATCATAGCAGGTTAACAAGCAAGCTCAACTACAGAGTTGGACAGGGAAGGACTGAGGAGAGATGGTTGTGCAGAGATGTCAAGAGAATTCTGTCAGCAGGTGAAAGCCCTTTACCCTGCCATTCATTTCTGTTTCCGATGTTACCTGAAGCGGACATGGTGGTGCATTAATGACATGCATGTCAACACCTACTTGCTTCTTTACTTAAAAGACGCATGGATTTCAGGGAGAGGCAATCCAGAAACAGTGTTCACGAAAGTTGATTTCAGGAACATGTTCTCAAAACTTTATCTTTCTGTCTTTCCTTCAGATTGTTTTCGTTAAAGCAAGTGCATATAATTTTCTCTGCACTTTTCAAATCCTAGCCTTTCAATATTTTCAGATAGTGGACAAGTTTCAGATTTATCAGCAAAGCTATGATCTTCGAGCAGTCAATACAGTCTTTCTGCACAAGCCACCATTCTCTTCCATCAGAGCAATCACATCCCAGGTCTAGGTAGTTCATGACTCTTTCCGAAGCTGAGGTTATGAAGTGACAGTCCCAGTCATTAATTTCTCAGGAAGAGTTCTAAAAGAGCTGGCTGCTCTGGAAGCACTGCTGGAATCAATTGTGCTTGATTTCAATTTTATTAACAGTCATGCTCAAACTCAAGACAGCCTTCTATGTTCCCACTACACTCTTCAAACAGAGACTTGGTTCCCCAACTAAGTAGAATTCATCTTCTGCTAAATATTTTTAGTTATAATTTAACTTAAAAAAAAAAACCAGGGGCTGGGAAGGTGGCTCAGTGGTAGAGCGCTTGCCTTGCATGCATGAGGCCCTGGGTTCGATTCCTCAGCACCACATAAGCCAGAAGTGGCGCTGTGGCTTAAGTGGTAGAGCACTGGCCTTGAGCTGAAGAGCTGTGGGACAGCGCTTATACCCAGAGTTCAGGCCCCAAGACCGGCAAGAAAGAAAGAAAGAAAGAAAGAAAGAAAGAAAGAAAGAAAGAAAGAAAGAAAGAAAGAAAGAAAGAAAGAAAGAAAGAAAGAAAGAAAGAAAGAAAGAAAGAAAGAAAGAAAGAAAGAGAGAGAGAGAGAGAGAGAGAGAGAGAGAGAGAAGAAAGAAAGAAGAGAGAGAGAGAGAGAGAAAGAAAGAAAGAGAGAAAGAAAGAAAGAGAGAGAAAGAAAGAAAGGGGAGAAAGAAAGAAAGGGAGAAAGAAAGAAAGGGGAGAAAGAAAGAAAGGGGAGAAAGAAAGAAAGGGAGAAAGAAAGAAAGAAAGATGCACTTTGCAGGAGTGAAAAGGTTGGTCAGATCCCTCTTTGGTATTCCTGGTGGCCTTCAGTTATTACATCCCAGAATGACAGGAGTATCTGTTGCTGTTGTTTTTAAAAATAATTTCCTCTAGAAAACGAAAGGAATTCAGTAACATCCAGGCCACTCATTTTCAGTGTTTTTATGGCCTTGGAAAGTTTCTCTTCTCCCCTGAAAACTAACTTCACTCTCTTGTGTTTCATTGTGTACAGTGACCCCCACTAAGACATGCTGAGTTTACACAAATGTCCCACCATTACATGATCTGCCACTCAGAAGACATTCATTTGCTTCTAGTTTGAACTGCCTGGGCCACAGAAACCCTTGAAATACCATCAAGTGCTCACATGGAAACAGCGGACGGACCTCTAACAGGCAAGGCCTTGATAGTGACTACAGGCAGGATGGACATCACATAGTTGTGGGCCAAGTGCAACAGATAGGGAGTCTGTGACAAGGATTGATTGGAACTGTGTTAATCATCCTGTCTTCCTGAAAGAGTAACTCCGAGGAACAACCAAGACCTAACTCAGAAGACAGGGCTAAACAGCAGACTCTGAAGAGGGCAGAAACATCAAGTGGCAGACTAGAGGAAGGAAAAGTGAAGAGGAGGAGAGAATTAATTTAGCATCTTCTAGATAAGAGTACAGAGCCCAAAGATGTAAGTAGTTACAGGAAATGCACAGGAGAGGGATGGAAGAGGAGTCAACTCTCCAAAAATCAACAAAGTACTTATTGGCATGCACTAACAACATAGGTCCTGACAGATTTTCATTTGAAAAAGACTTTTTTTCATGCTACCAGTTTCCTATGAGAATCTTCACTCTTGCTACTCCTAACAGACCTTTTGCTAAGTGATTCAGTCATATAAAAAAGCTTATCTTACTTAGTTCAGAGTTCCAACGTGGCACTAATTATGTCTGGGTCTGCTCAGAGTTCACCTGTCCCTGCTGATTACGTGATGCCTAGTGGGTAAGCAGCACAATAAAAAACACTGTATCAAGCTTGGCAATGTGAGCTGGTCACAAGCTCTCATAACCATACAAAATCTTTTTTGTAGAAAAGCTCAAACAGTTGGTGGTGACTTTGAAAGTGTGGCCCATGAGCTATAGAAGAGCTCTAGAATAGACATGGCATAAGGTCTTCACAGAAGAAAATTATCGGCTTACTATAGCCAAGTGTCCTTTCCCTCCTGCTTCTAGGCTAACTTGAATTTAATGATGCTTTTCTGATCAGGAAGGTTAAATTTAAGAAAATTCATTATAAATATGGCAGGAACCTAAAAAGAGATTTTGCCATCAGAATAGTGAAAGGATGCCTTCTTAAGCTAACCACTCAAGAGGATGCTCATTCCCCAGAGATGTGTCTGCTTCAAATGTGTTGTTCGGGGAATACAAAAGGAAGTGCCCATTCTTTTGAAGGTGATGAATTATTAAAGGTCAAGTCTATCAATATTGCTATTCCAGTTCCTTCGGAAAGTTTCACTTCCTTGAAGGTTTCAAGTTCAATTCATCTATGATTCAATTCATCTATGATTCAACATCTAGAAGCACAGGAATCAGCTGTGGACAATAAACAGGTCTGCAAGGTAATGGGAAAGAAGAATCTCACATTGCTCCAGGGTCCAGAAAATTTTTGCCCTGTGGACTGCTGAATGCCAGGAGCTAAGAAGAGTGAGTTCAGGATGACAGCTGGCTCTAATTAAAGCTAGTCACTGGGAGACTAGTCAGAAGGGCGCCTATCCGATGAGCCTCAAGGTGCTCACACTGCCATGTGGCTACTCACCGATGCTGATCAGGTACCAGGTGAGGAGGCCAGACCCGGGAACGGAAAGGTTGCTGTCCTAGCTGCCGCTGCAGGTCCGGTGGGATCTCAGCTGTAGGGTTGGTCATGGCCAGTGTATGTCTTTTGGACCTATTTGCCAAGTATCTGCAACAAGCAGGAGCACATTTCACAGTAAAAAAGACAGACAGAGATATTCCTCCACAAGAAGCAACAGAAGTTAATCCAAAGTGCTCAGTGAAACAGTGCCAGAGCTCTGAAAGGGCTCCATGGCAAACAGATCCCTGACAGGATGGAAGTAAAACATGTCTAACTGGCCAACAAAAGCCGGCATAACACGAGGTAGCTGGATTTTGAACTTCAAAATAGCCACTGAAGAGAAGAGAAATGCAGATCCAGCTCACAAAGATAGGAGGATTCATTTTCCTTACTTCACGTCATTCCACAGAAGAATTTATTTTCTCTTTGTCAATCTTCCCTCCTAAATTCCCAAGCTCCAAGTCAGAGAAAATAAGCCCTAAGACCTTTTTCCTAGAGATGAGTCAAGGGAGATATTCAGAAGGATTCTTCATATAGCCCTAGGTCCCACAGGCCCCCGGTTTTGAGGCTACATTCACTACACACGATAGAAAACAATCTCTTTCATTTGGGGATAAGTGAGTTTCCAAACTACCTGATACTCTGTGATTACAACTCAGTCACAAGAGAAGAAAAACTGATACTGGCCCCAGGGACCAAGGCTCTGTAGAGGATGAAGAAGTCAAATCACATGTAATGTTTAGATTGGGGGGGGGGGGGGGAGGAGAGGGGAAATGCAAGAAAAACAGACGAGTCCTTCCTAGCTGATGACTTAATTGACTCTGAGGGTCTCCAGAGCCACACTTGGTCAGCACCATGATCAGACAGGTGTCCCCTTCATCTGGATGATGGCTTCCCCACCACAGATCATTTTCTAGGGCATGAGTAAGACAAGCACTATTCCTTGCCATTCCAGCAAAATGGAGGGCATTCTATCCTTTTAATGTCAGCTGAAAGAAGACAGAAGGAGAACCTGGAAAAACCAAAGTCCAAGACAGAGGTACTGCTGTCTCTTCAGATGGTAAGGTGGTAAATTTACTAATTTCTTATTTCTTCATGACTCTTGTAGGGCTCATTTGTAACCTTATATACCCTGTCATCAGCAAACTACAGAAACAACAGTAACAAGGCAAAGAAAACTCAGCACCATTTCTCCTCCTAGTAAACTGTGGAAGGAGCTGAACACATCCCTGCTCACTGTGGGCTCACCATGGTTCTTCCCACAGTGGGCCAGTTTCTCACTGAATAGCAGCTCCTGAGACCAGGAAGACAGTCTTGGCCAGCAATCAATAAAATCTTTAAAAATGGTCTTGTTTCATTTCTAACTACCTTGCCCACTTTAGCTAAAATCAGGTAACAGGCTGCAGAGTATTCAGTGGTTTGCAAACTTGCCAAAGAGTAAGCTATCAATCATTTAATGTCTACTTGATAAAGACACCCAAAGTTTCCCCAAGAGCCCATGAAAACCAGTTTATTTCAATTTCCTCAAAGGAAAACATATAATCTTGAAGAACACCTGTATTTCTGGGGCGGGGAGCGGGGGGGGGAGAGATACATGCTGGATTTTGGTGAAGTCCCTCACCCCAGAAACTACGAAAGAGGACTCCCACAAGGGGGCATGCATGGAGCTGAAGATCAGGGCTACGGAACTGAGGTCAAATGAACAGTACAGCATGCCTGATGGTCATTGCCGTTCTCTGTGAATTAGGCATCTCTCAACAAGGTTCTGCAAGCAACGGGTATTTACATCTGCGCCTGGCCCACATCCCATATTCTTTTTTTTGTTTTGTTTTTGTTTTCCTCCAATATCTCTTTGTTGGTACAAGGGAGTGGAAGAAACACACGGCAAACAGTACAAGAGGTATTCTTTCATCCTCCTGGAAAGAAGAGTCCATGCCAGAGGTCCATGGCCAGACTAGCTAGTATCACTGTCATCTTAAATCTCCAATTCCTTTTCAGTAAACAGTTCTTGGCAGGTAGGAGCAGGCTTTGTGCCTTGTGAACACTATCGGAGTTGCAATATGAACGCAGGGGGCAAGGAAGGAAGGAGGGAGGAGAGAAAAAGTTCTTATGGTTATTGCTGTCACTTAGGGGGCTTCCAGTGGCGCTTACAGAAATGAACTTTTCTGGGTAGTCTTCTGTTACTTCCATGTGGGGAGGAACATGCCATCTGGCTTGAGCAAAGAGACCACACAAATGTTGAAGCTGCACTGTACCACCGCCTTGGGCAGAGGTGACCTTTCGCTGGTTGCAGGGGGAGCCTGCCCAAGGACGTTCTGCAAGCACTGCCAGATGCCACATTACCTCTGCACAGCTTCCTGATCGGGCTCCCCATCCGAGCTCTCCTCGTCCACAGGGGTAACTGCTGGCACTGCCTGCAGAGACACAGGGAGGAAAAGTCCAAGGTGGCGGCTCATTCTATAATGCCTCTCTCTCCAGCAACCAGGGTGGAGCCAGATTGTCTGTTAACTCTCCTATTTACAAAACATCCCTAGGACCTCTGGCCTACGCAGAACTTTCATATGCCTGTTTGTTCCATTTTTACCTTGCTCTATTTCTCTTCATTCATCCAATTATTCATCCAACCAATACCTGGATACATACTATGTTATAAGATAAAATGAGAATTTATAGATAAAAGTTCTTGCCCTCGCTTAGTATTGTAGTGGAGGACCATTACGAAAGCATGCCCAGACCCTTTAGAAGGGGGTGCCTGGCAATTACGGAAGGCTCCTGGATGAGGTGACTCTTGACACATGAAGGGTGCATAGGGGCCAGCCAGCAAACAGCAAAGGCTCAGAGGCTGAGAGAAAGAGGAGGTCTGAGGGTATAGTGTCTACCTAGACTGTCTAGAAACTGGCCTGTGATTTCATATCCACTGTTATTTCACAAGTTTACATGTCAGGACTTCAGGAAAGTGTAATGATTTCTGAAAGCACACGTTCATATATAACAATGACAGTACAATTCAGATAGCTGCAATTCAATGCTTTAAAATGGTATCACCCATAAAACCAAATGAGATGAGAACCATCCTTGTGACTATGCCTCCTTCAAAGCTCATCCCGGCCTGGCAGTCACATGAGCACCTCCTTCAGGTTCTACAGCAAAAACAATGCTTCAATGCTCACAAAAAAGTATTTTTTAGAACAATGAATGATGATTACAAAACAAAACAAAAAAATCTTTTTGAAATAACTACGGTGTTTGAATGCTTCTAGGGTTCTCAGTCTTTACTATAGTTCTGTAAGGGGAAGGTGAATAGTCAGGCAGAAAGTAACTGCAGTTAAGGCAGAGGAAGAATGTGGTGACCCTTTACAAATGGCCTTGAGTATCACACAGAGCAGCTTATTTTGAGAAGGGCAGTGGTAAATCACTAGAAGGTTCTTATCATTAAATAGATAAGCTCTTATAAGATCTGTATTTTTTAAAACTCTCTTTAGTTACATGGTAAAAATTGATCGTGGTGGAAATAGGAACAAGCCTAGAAGTCGCTAGTTTGGAGGCTACTGTATTAAGCTAGGTGATGAATGACAGTGACCTGAGTTAAGGAAAGGGCAGTGAGGATAAAGAGAACTGAGATACTTAGTTTGCAGGTGTCAGATAACTGATTTGATAGAGAACGTGAGGGAGAGGGAAGAACTAAAGATAAAGTACAAGTTCTTAACGTTATAGACAGTGTTATTCACTATCATGAGGGGGAGGGACAAGGGGGAGAGAACTGGTTTCACAGAGATGTAAGTTTTTTGGGGTGCCATATGGAATGACAACTGTGGGCACTTGTGAGAGACATGCAACTAAAACTATCCATAGGTGATCATTCATACAGTTGTGCGGAAGTTGAAGAGCACCAGATGGTCACTAAAATTATGGCAATGGAAAAGCTTATCCAGAGAGTATATCAAGTGAGATGGGAACAGGGCTTAAGAGAAAACTTTGGGTTTTTGACAACTTCCAGGAATAAGTAGAAAGGAACACAGAAAAGGAAATGGAAAAGGACAGGCAGGAGGAAAAACAGAGTGGTATTACAGAAGCCAATAAAAGAAAATATTTCAAGGGGGGAAAAATGGGTCAACAATGAACTAATAGAGTTGGGACATCCAAAAAGATAAAGATTAAAAATGCCCACTAGATTTATCAACAAGAACTTGTTAGTGACCTTGGCAGAAACAGTGTCAGTGGACAGAGTCAGTCACCCCATCTGTCATGAGTCTGTTCCTGATCCTTCCTAACCAGTATTGATCTTGCCTGTCCCTGAATGCCTCTGACACCTACTGTCCATGCTACCCAAACTGGCTCTTACATACAAATACAGGCTGTTAATACTGTTCAGCTAGTCTACATAGAATGATCTCATCTTCCATATGATAACCTCAGTGTATCAACAACTACTGACACAAATAATTCTTTTGTGTCTTGGACCACAGTGTTACTCAAAGCATGCCCCGTGGACTCATGCCAGTCCACACAGCGTTTTGTTACCCATCTATGACAGGACAGGAACAAAAATCAAAAGCAAGCTTGGAGACACTTTGAAGAATAATTTTGTCTGCTGAATCATAAATTATTTTTGTGTTTTTTACATATTTGGTATACTTTTAACATGTCATTTTTCCAATGCTTCACTTCTACTATCTGTTATAAAGCTAGCTATTCATGATAAACTAACATGGGGAAAAGACTCAACTAGAGTTGGCTGAGAAAGCACTCCTAAAACATGTTGAAAGGCTCTGGACATAGTTAATACACAATTTAAAAATACTATGAATGAACAAATTATTTAATGAAAGAGTAATCTAGGATAAAAAAAAAAAAACAACAACACAGAAAGAACAAACCAGGAGGGCCAAAAAACAAAAAAACAACCTTTGAATGTTGCCATCATAAAAAAATTGATATGTTACCTGGACCACACGTACTCACACTACTGGGGAGGCTGAGATCTGAGGATCATGGCTCATAGTTAGTCCGGGGAGGAAATCCACTAGATTCTTATTACAGAACAAGCCAAAAGTAGAGCAGTGGCTCAAGTGGTAGAGTACTAGCCTTGAGCAAAAAGAAACTCAGGGAGAGTGTTTAGGCCCAGAGTTCAAGCCCTTGGACCAGTGAAAAAGAAAAGAAAAGAAAAAAAAAAAGAAAAAAGAAAAAACATGTGATCAAGAGACACCGACTGACTAGATTAGAGCCAAATAATCAAGTAATGTAGGTTTTACCAAAAAATATGAGGATGTTGCCAGAGGCATGGCTCAAGTAGTAGAACACCAACCTACCAAGTTACTCAGCCTTGAGATCACATCTCATTAGTGAATAAAGAGTTGGTGAGATGGTCATTTTGGAAATCAGTCTGAAAAAAGATTAATGACAGAAAGCACCATTTGATTCAATGGCCTTCCATCAGGGAAAGTGCTCTGTGGGCGAGAAGCTGGGCCACTCCACCTGGAATGCAGCTGGACTTAACTAAAGGTCTGGTAGCCGGGTCCAAGAGGAAGAGGTTCTCCAGGAGGTCTACATGGAAATGATCTAAGAAGTCAGTCAAAAATACACACCAAGCTGAGCACCAGTGGCTCCTGCCTATGAATCCTCTCTACTCAGGGGGTGGAGATCCAAGGACTGAGTTTTTTTTTTTTTTTTTGTCGGTCGTGGGGCTTGAACTCTGGGCCTGGGCGCTGTCTCTCAGCTCTTCAGCTCAAGGCGAGCACTCTACCACTTGAGCTACAGCGCCACTTCCCAAGGACTGAGGTTTAAGACCAGTCTGGGCAGAAAAATCCATGAGACTCTGATACCAAAAACCTAACCCAAAAAGGCTGGAAATGGAGTTGTGGCTCAAGTGGTAGAGCACTAGCCTTGGGCAAGAAAGCTTCACGACAATGCACAGGCCCTTACTTCAAGCACCAGAACAGACACAAATAAACAAACACCAAAACACACTGTCTAAAGAAAATGGGAGCCAGGTGCCAAGGGCTCATGCCTGTAATCCTAGCTACTCAGGAGGCCAAGATCTGAGGATTGGGATTTGAAGCCAGCCCAGGCAGCAAAGGCTATCATACTTCAATAAACTTTACTTAGAAAAAGCCAGAAATGACATCTTTGCTCAAGTGGTAGAGCACTAACTAGTCTTAAGCAAAAAAGCAGCTCAGGGACAAAGTCCAGGCCCAGAGTTCAAGTCCCAGGACCAGCCAAAAAAAAGAAAAGGAAACAGGAATACATTGAGCTTGGAAAAAGAGAAAATGAAGACATTTATGTTGGTTACCAGTCCCAGGCCTTCATCTTCCTTATCAAGAGCTTCTGAATAAATCAGCTAGGCTCTGTTGCTACTCACTGGTGTCATGGTGACAAGCGGGGAGGGTCCCCGTGGGCGCTTCAGCAGCTGCTGAGCATGCAGTTGGATGTTGGCTCCTCCATCTGATGCCCTTCGGCCAAGGGGGCCCATTCCATTCAGCAGCTGAAGAGTGGGTGGCTGTAGCAGAGACTGCTCCTGCCAGGAGACCAGGAAGGACACACAGATGAGATGCACAGAGAACAGCCACGCTTTCATCTACTAAAGTTAAAGATGCTTTGTGATGATCTCCCATCACTCAATCTCCTTTGCAAAAAGGAAATCATCTTTCTCTAAGAAAGAAGGGAACCCTGAAAGGAAAGTCCCCCGAAGCCTCTAATAAGGAGAGGTTTCTCCTCTGGCAAACCCTTTCCCATATCAAGTACCTTATACTCAAGCTGCCCTGTTGGCTGCAGATTCTGCATGGGCAGCAGGTTGTGCATGAAGTTCATGTGAGGCGCCACCTGTGGGAATGGGGCTTGCGGGCTGACTCCAGGAAAGCCGGGAAGGAGCTTCTGCAGGTCCTCCATGACCTCCGTCCTAACAGAAAACAGGAAGATCAAGGAGTTGTGGTTAATATTCTCACTCAAAGTGTTTAATCTCCTAAAATGATAGCATTGCTAATCTATGTTCATTACAGTCATTTTTTAAAACTTTCTTCCTAAATTTGCATTTTTCTCTAAAGTAAAGCAGAAGTCTCATTTGTGGAAAGTGAGTCTATGTCACTTTTACTGCTGAGAACTGGAAATCACTATTTTTCATTGACCATTGCATAAAACCAATAGCTCAGAGCCAAAAGGCAACACTGGCATGAGCCCAGGTCAGGTTTTCAAAGACTGGAGATGAACAACATGTTTCTGAAGAGCACAGGCCATCGTTAAGATAATGGCTGCCTGAAGTAGCAATTGATTCTCCAGGGAAGAAATACAATTACTCCTGTGAGCGCTGACAACACAGATAAGCACTGGATGGATGTACAGGGCTGTCTTGCTACAACAGTAAGTTTTACAGCAGACTTTAAAATAGGAGATCTTTCTACTAACAGCAACTCAGGACTCACTTCACCCCTCTGCAGTTGATACATTCTAAGGAGCCACTATGGTCTCCTATTGCCTGTTTGATCATAGGCTGAAAACAAGAAACATAAAGCAAAGGAATCAGCAGGTATAGGAGTCTTTTTTGGAAGTTCACTCAGAGAAAAGAAGTGTTTATAAGAAAACCAGTTTCGCTCCTAGTTGAGCTTTCAGTATTCTTGCTCAACCTTTTCTTCCCTCCTCAGTAAAGGAAACATTCAATAGTGAGGTAAGCCATTTTTGATGCTGAGAGTCTTCAAACTAAAGAACAGACATGGAACAAGCTGGCCTTCAGTCCACAGAGCATCCACTGGGGAACAGCATGACAAATAGCTGTCAGGAAACATACTGGGAAACTGGTGTGGCTTTGGATTCTTGTCACATGTATAAATTACATCGTATCACTTGTCCTCTCTCTGGATGAATCTTGTAGTCGAATGTGTGGCAGGTATTTCTATTTGTGAATGTTAAAGGGCTTTCTGTTGGTGTCTCAGAAGACCTCCATCTCTGTGGACAAATGTGCTATCAGACTCCTCACCAAACTACTGGCATGATGGCTGCTAAGTATAGTCAAGCCATTTCTGACCCAGCAGAGTCGGTGATATTTCAATCAGGTGCCTTGGCCACTTACTTAGATTGCATTTGGAAGATACTATGAAGTAGGAAAAAAATGTGCCATGGTAGGCACCAAAGCCAAAGTAGGCATTCTTTGCCTTAGTGCTGGGCAGGGCTGTTGCCCACGCACTCACCGTGGGTCAGCCACCCCCACCGTGTGCCTCCTCATTGACAAGTAGCGAACCAAGGCTTCGGGGGAAGGCTCTTCACCCTCATCGCTGTCCAAGTTCACTGTCCCATCCGGCTGAGGTGGAGGGAAACACAATCGACAGTTAGAAGGAGGAGAGAAGGAAAGGAGGTGGGTGTGGCTTCAGTGGCCAACTGCCAGTGGGTGCTACTTGCCTCCACAATTTGATTCTCAGGGTTGATCAGCTGCACCTGGGGGACGCTGATGCTCATGGCAGTGCCTGTCTGCTCCGCCTGCAAAGCAATACATATAGACACACACATACTTTAAATAATGACTGCTAAAGTCTGTAGTTCTTCTGTTCTTAGAAGACACATTAAGGAAGCATTCTCTGAACATTAAAACATCACGTTGCTACATCTGTTGTGGCCACCCATCCTCTCCGTCAAAGGAAGGTTCAGATCTTTACTGGCCTCTGACAAAGGCAGAGATGACACTCTCTTAATTTAGGGTTGGGGAGCAATGGATGACCCTTACTCTCTGGTGTGACTTGTGATGATCTAGCTCACTGGAGATAGTGCCCACCTGGATATTGACTGGTGCTTGAAATGCCATGGCTCGGGGCATGCTAGGAAGTGCTCCAGGACGCAGAGTTTTATGTCTCTTATGTCGATCACACAGCAGGCTGTAGATTGCACTATAGTGATCATAGGCATCTGATCTCAATGACTACCAAGAGAGAAGGAGAGAAGTGAAAATCTCTGATGAAGTGATATGTCAGTGACCAAAAACCCTTCCAATAATACCAGCAAAAGACCAAAGCAACTTCTTTCCTTCCTTCCCAGGCCCAGCAGAGGTAGAAGAAAAAACAAGATGAAAAGAAAAACACCCAAGTTCTCAAGAAAGATTAAAATAGCCAAGCAGGATAAACACCACATCTCACTTGGTTCTCCACTCCATCCCACACACCTGTAGTGTCCGCTCTTTGTCCAGCCCCATGTCCTCCATAGCCAAGAGGACATCCTCATTCAGAGGTTCTGTCTGTCTTTCTTCCTTCAGTTGCTGGCATTCAGCTATTAACTGTAACATGAACAGAGGCAAGCTGTCAAACTCCTATTGATCATGCCAATATGGCAAATCATATGGAACTATCAAACTGTTCTATGGCCCCCTAGAGTAGGACTTTTAGGGCCTCAACATCTAAGTAAGACAGACAGGGCTCTTCTATTTTCTGAGCTCCTTGGGGTAACTGGAATGGCTATAATGATTTAAATAAAGGTATGTTACAGAAACCACTGAACTGAACACACTAAGAGAAAGAAGACATAGTGAGCCGTAGAAGGGTGGGTGATCTTGTCTCCAAAAACCAACTACAATTTGGAGGCAAATGATCAAGAGCCTATATTACCATTCCAACAGTTGAGTTGATTTTTACAGTTCTTCCTGCTCTTGACTTGCTTGCTGCTGTTGCATTACTCAATACTTGGTTGCCAATGCCCATGTATTCAGGTCATGACCAGATCACAATCCCATGCAGGAGAGACTGCTGTATCTAAAAGGAGCTTCCTGAGGCCAGGGGTTCCCAGCTCACCCTGTCAAAGTTGGGATCGGCATCCCCTAGCTTCATCCACTTGTGCTTGCAGATCTGCTCCATGGAGAGGCGTTTGTTTGGGTCTAACACCAGCATGTGGCGGACCAAGTGCTCACACTCTGCAACAGACAAAGAGCCTGTCTTCAATCCCTGGTGAGCGGAGGCACCAGTGCAACCCAGGAACCAGAAGCATGACCAACAGGAAGATTCTCAAGCCACCTGTTCCAGTTTTGTCTTACTCTCCCCAACCCTTCACTATTCCTTTGCTTACTCTGGGAGGAGCTGGGAAGAGCAGAGAAATCAAGTGTGCAGTCTGGTTAGTGCCATCACTAAGAGCCTGGCCAGAACAATCTGGGGACAAATATGGATTTCATTTATTTACATTATCAATAGCCCCATTTAAAGTAATAAATGACGAATATAATGTCCTCTGAAGAGATTATCTTATGCAGTTCTCAAAGTATTACAGTCTCCCTTCCTACACGTATTATTATGTGCATATTAATGGTTTTGGCTTAGGTGTGTAATACATTCGTCATAACAATGGTACCAAGTGTGTAGGAAGAGAGGAAAAGGCACGGGTCACCCCTACCACACACTGACAATCAGCAACCCTTATTTAGATTTTTCTCAATGTTAACACTACAGGTACAGAAAGCTTGGCTGTGAGCTACAGAGACTCAGATCAATAGATATTTCTTACTGGGGCAGAAAAAAGAAGATTCAAAATTAATAAAACTATATACAGATTTCAAAGCTACTCTCTATTTCTAAATTTTCTCATCTGTAACCTAAGGTGCTGAGGATCAAGGGAGCAGTACTTGGGACAAAGTTGGTAGGCGATGATGAAACAGTTGTAGTAACACTTTCTGGTTATTATTATTATCTCAATGAATCCCACAGCAATCTTGAGAGGAATGGACTATCATCATTCCCAATTGGCTGGCTATGGTGTTGCATGTCTAAGATCTCAGCTAACTGGGAGACCCTACAGATAGAAGAATCATGATCCAGGGCAGGCCTAAGCAAAAAATAAATAAAGAAATAAAACAAGACCCTGCCAGAAAACCAACTAAGGCAAAAAAGAACTGGGGGCATGGCTAAAGTGGTAGAGCATCTGCCTTGCAGGCAAGAAGCCATGAGTTCAAACCCAAGTTCTACCTACCACACACACACACACACACACACACACACACACACACAAACAAATTAGGCATCTGTAGATTTCAAACCAACAGACTCTCCTTCCACCTGGTGGTCTTAACTATGATACTCTATGACCTCAGTATTATAGGAGCTGATGGGGGTAGAAATCCCTGCACTATTAATTCAACATCTTCTTTTTAACCATCATCCCTTGCTTAGATGGATGCTCACTGGCTTTCTGCCTTCATTCTTGTTCTATTGCAATTTGTTCCCTAGAGAGAACCAGAGAATTTTCAGAAGCATAAATCTGGGCCTACTGGCTGCCTGAATAGAACCCTGCCAACTCCTCTCATAATCCTCAGAATAAAATTCCACATCCGTGGGCTGATAAAGTCCCTGACTAGTCTTTACACATGCTCAGCACTCTCCTGCCTACTGGCCTTCACACATGCCTTTCCTTTAGCCAGAATGGTCACTCTTCAGAGCTGGCTCTTCGTCATCGTGCATATAAGAATGTAAGTGCCACTTTTCCAGAAAGTTCTTCCTGACATCTATGTCAAAGCTGGCCTCCAGTCACTCTCCATTATATCATATAAACGTTCTTCATGCAAGCAACTTCTTTGTGAAATAATCACACTTATATATTTCTTTGTTCATTGACTGACTGTCCCATCACAGTGCCATATAGTATCAAATCTCCAATACCAAACATGTTATCATAACTAATAGGAGCTGCATAAATATCTACTGAATAGATGAATATTTATCAAATGCTTAACCAAACAAGATCATGTTTGTGAATATGCTTTGTAATTCACTTCATCTTTATAGGCACCCTAAATTAGCTACTATTATCACCCTCATTTGTAAGTGAAGTGTTTTAAAAGGCTAGTGGGGGCGGGAAATGTGACTTAGTGGTAGAGTGCTTGCCTAGTATGCAGGAAGCCCTGGGTTTGATTCTTCACTACCACATAAACAGAAAAATCTGGAAGTGGTGCTGTGGCTCAAGTGGTAGAATGCTAGCCTTGAGCAAAAAAAGCTCAGGGACAGTGTCCAGGCCCTGAGTTCAAGCCCCAGGACTGGCAAAAAAAACCAAAAAAAACCAAAAAAAACAAATAAAGCTTGTGGACTTAGCACCACAAGAAATGGCAAAGCTGGGACTTCAAGCTATATTCTGTGGGGGAAGGGGCAGTACTTAGGTTCAAACTCAGCACCTTATCCTTTTGCTAGGCAGGTACACTACCACTTGAACCATGCCTCCAGCTCTCTTTATTTTTCAGATAGGATCTTATGTTTTGAGCAGGGCTAGCCTCCGCTTCCACAGAGATTACTGGTACGCCACCATACCTGGCTTACCTTTTTGCCTAAACTAGCCTCGAAAACTACCATCCTCTTGGCTCTCTGCCTCCCAACTAGCTGGTGTTACAGCTGTGAGCCACTATACCTGGCCTAAGCCAGCCTCTTGGCTACCTTTACTGTACAGCTTCTAGTAAATGTAAATTCTGTTTGAAACAGGCCAAACTCTGAAACTTCTATAGCATTTGACATATGACATTCTATATCACTTCTTAAAAGGAATATTGAAATATTGAAAGTAATTAAAATAAACTATTTTTAATGTATTCTAACTTTAAAATAAAATACAAAAAATTCTCTAAATCAAAATAATTTTATATTGGTATCAATTTGTCTTGCTTTATAATCTAAACTATAAATATAATATAGATACTTGAAAGGCTACATTTTCTAAATTCTCTGAAACAAAGTACCTTCTGTTATGGAAGTTTTGTTAGGATTACATTTCCACAGTACCGAGCTATATCCTGCAACTGACTGACATGAAAGTTTATAATCTGAAATTACTTAAGGAAAAAAATAATGTTCCTAATTGGAAAGTAGTTAGACTTCGTGTAGGGAGACCAGGGCCTGCTTAGAAAGTCGTGAAGTTGTTATTAAGGCCTCTAGATGGCACTCTTCTGTTTCCCTTTGGTCTCTCCAGACAACATAAAACTCAAACGATCAAGGCCAAATGAGGTTTGGTCATGAGCCTGCTTGCTTTAACATGAGATTTTTTTTTTTCTCCCAGACTATTTCCTTAATCTAAAACAAGCAAACTTCTATAATGTCCTAATGTTTTAAAATGTATTTAGTCAATTCCAGAATCCTGAAACTTGTTTTGGGTCAGATTTAGCTATTATTTAGCTTTAGATACCATGAAAAATCACTAGAAAATTTTTGCATCAGAAATTACTCACAAGCCTTGCATATAATATTTAGTTGCTAAGAGTCCATGATATCTAGATACCCAAGATACCTGGAGGTTCAAGATTAGGAACTCTTGGTTACAGTGTCAATACCTCAAGGATGGGGCTGGGAAGGTGGCTCAGTGGTAGAGTGCTTGCCTTGCATGCATGAGGCCCTGGGTTTGATTCCTCAACACCACATAAGCAGAAAAAGCCAGAAGTGAGCTGAAGAGCAGAGGGATAGTGCCCAGGCCCAGAGTTCAGGCCCATGACAGACAAAAAAAAAAAAAAAAAAAAAAAGACTCAAGGATAAGAGCTTTTATCTTGGCTGTCCTACATAATATCCAACAGAAATCTAACGTATCTCATCTGTTGTGCAGACAATAAAGGATGACAAAAGGCAGAGTGCTAGAGTAGCAGTATTGATTCATACTTTATCAGTGTCATGCAGCTCATAAAATTAAGCTCAAATTTGGACAGAATGTTCTTAGTATATGGGAAGAGGGTGAAGATGAAGGAAAGAAATGCTCCCAAACATAAAATCACAGCCATAGGATGGACAGTCCATTTAAATGAGTAGAAGAAAGAGCCTCAGATCAAAGGGTACAAAACATCAACTTTTCCAGATGCCAAAACGTGCTGGATTTTAATGTCTAAAATGGTCCTATCTCTGTCCCCTCCCAGGGGGCAGAGTCTCCTTCTGATGAACCTGAAGCGCTCTGAGCCAGGCGGGAGTACGCGGCTCTGCTGTGTGAGCCAGAGCAGCAGCCACCCCTCCGCGGCCACTTTCATCTGCTCACACACTGCTGCCAAGTGGTCTCCTCAGTGAAATCACTGTTGACCATGAAACCCCATCTGCCCAGAGCATGCCTGCCCCGTCCCCCGACTGCGCTCTCCCCCACGTGGAGGAGAGCCAGCTTCTGTATGGGCAGAGAACTAAGATGGGAATGAAGACAGCCAGTGTGATTTCACTGACCACAACTTTCTGAAAAAGACTAGTATTTGAGTGAGCGGGGAGGATTTAAGGATGGGAGGGTGGACCAAAGATCTACTTAAAATTCATTAAAAACAGTTTCATAGAAGCTCTGCCTCCAGTTCCTAGGGAAGAAGAAATGAAGTAACCTAAGAAAGAATTCCCATTTTCGGACTGAAGTGTTGAAAACCTGACACCTGAAGATAGGATCAAAGCCATGAGACTTATTTATCCTGGAGAAGAGAAGGAATTGGGGGGGGGGGGGGGTGGTAATATGCTGAATGCTCTTCAAGAATCTAATAGGTTTTTTTCCCCCAAACAGTTGATTTGTATTATGCTACCCAAAGGCTTGGATGTGAGGTCGTTAGGAAGTTATGAGTTCAATGTAGCACTGATTTCTAAGAATCTGGGGAAGTGTGAGGAAGCGTCCAGCAAACAGGACTGCACCTGGGGCACAACTCATTTCACTCAGTACTTGGGCAAGATTTTCCTTGAAACAACTGAACTACTTGCTCCCCTCCTCTCCTAAGTCCAAAAACGATATGTAATCACATTAAGGCAATCTGTTGTCTACGAAGTGGTAATCTTACTGTAACTAGAAATGCAATCAGAGGCTAGTATTTGAGATGACATCAGAGGACTCCTACGCATAAGAAAGACTGGACAGCTCTCAAGGATGTCAAACATATTTTACCTAGTGTGCATCCTTACTGCCTACCAAAGTACCTGCCACAGGACAGGCCCTCAAAAGATGGCA